TTGGCAAGCCTGTGCGAGTTGTAGCCTCAGTTTCCTGTTTTTAACTGTCAAGAGTGGCACCCTGTGTGGTCTTTTGCTGCTGTATCCCATCCACCTCAAGGTTTGACGTGGTTTGCATTCAGGGATGCTCTTCTGCATACCTCAGTATTAACGAGTGGTTATTTAGGTTACTGTTGCCTTTCTATAAGCTCCAACCAGTCTGGCCATTCTCCTCTGACCTCTAGCTTCAACAAGGCATTTGCATCTACAGAACTGCCGCTCACTGGATATTTTCTCATTTTCGGACCAAACTCTAAAGATTGTTGTGCGTGAATATCCCAATAGATCAGCAGTTTCTGAAAAATTCAGACCACCCCATCTGGCACCAACAACCATGCCACATTCAAAGTCACCTAAATTACCTGTCTTCCCCATTATGATGCTTAGTTTAAACTGCAGCAGATTGCCTTGACCATGTCTACATGCCTAAATGCACTGAGTTGCTGCCATGTGACTGGCTGATTAGAAATTTGCGTTAACAAGCAGTTGGACAAGTGATTCATTTGCCTGTCATTGAGGTGCCCTTTGATCGCATTGGTTTGGAACTATAGGGGCCACTGCTCAAGTCTGACTGTGGCCACAAGCACATCCTGTAATATTGGATTATGTCACCAGTTTACTTGAGGCAGTGCCCCTAGGAAAGTCAACATCAAAGGCAATTGCAAAGAAACTGTTTCTCCTCTGCAGCTGGATGGGCATCCCCACTGAGATCCTGACTGACCAGGATACGCCATTCATGTCCTTGCTGATGGCAGTCCTCTATTACCTTCTGAAAATAAAATCGCTGTAGACAATTGTTTACCACCCTCAAACAGACTCGACTGGGTTCATTGTCTTTGAACTGTTGTTTGGTCAAGCTGACAGAGTCATGATAATGGTTTATGAACACCTCACCACAGCCCAGTTTGCCAAGCAACCCCTCTTTGATTGGCCTGGCCATCCCTAAGAGTTCTATTGTGACGTTCAGGTACAGGTGTTAGTTCCCACCATCACATCTGAGTTCCTTGCCACCTGAAAAGAACCATGACTGATCGTCGAGTGGGTCGAGCTGGTCAACTACTGCATCTGTCAGCCAGGAAAAAGACAAGAGAAACAAGTATATCATATCAACCTCCTGAAATGCTGGATGCTTAAGATAGCTAAATACCTACCCCTGCATCCATGAACATGCTAGATCTCAACGATCATATACTTACCGGAGGACGCAGCACCAGCCCCATTTGCCCTCTTCTCTGTCACTTAACTCTTTTAGCTGTAAATAAACCATTATCTTGGGCTTCTGAATTAAAACCTGCCTGTCTTGTGTTGTGTTTATCCTAGAGTATACAGTGGAGAGAAACAAACTTGTCTTTACTGTGGTCTTTCAGGAATACTTGTTATGCTCTCTATTGCTCCATAACCACCACAGCATCTGCTCAGGATACGACCTGGTCTAAGATTATGGAAACCTTGGGAATATTAAAAAACAGACTAACATAAGAATAGATGTCATTCAAATTATAATTTCGAATGGGAAGTGTTCTTGGCTTCGGTTGCCCTAAATAATGCAAAATAACAATCCTTTAGAGGATTTGGATTTCAAAAGCATTTGTGTTTTATGTGTATGCTAATGAAAATAGATGTGTCTTTAATCTAGTTTTAAACTGATAGAGGGTGTCTGCCTCTTGAACTGTACTAGGATGGCTGTTCCAGAGTTTAGAGAAATGAGAAAGATCTAACGCCTACAGTAGATTTTCATATTCTGGGAATAATCAATTGTTTATCAATTGTCTAGAACAGGGGTGCTCAATCCTGTTCCTGGAGATCTACCTTCCTGCAGATTTCAGTTGCTACCCATATCAAACACACCTGCCTGTAATTATCACGTGGTGTTCAAGTCCTAATTAATTGGTTCAGGTGTGTTTGATATGGGTAGCAACTGAAATCTGCTGGAAGGTAGATCTCCAGGAAAAGAATTAAGCACACCTGGTCTAGAAAGACTCCAGCAACTGCATTTTTAATTAACTAAAGTTTTTTAATTATGCCAACAAGGCAAATGCCTAGTAACATATTACAATAGTCTAACCCAGTGGTTCTCAAACTTTTTTCACCAAGTACCACCTTAGAAAAAAATTGTCTCTCCAAGTACCACCATAATGTCTAGTATTAAAAAATAGCATCGTAGGCCTAACTAAGCAGCTACAGCTGTGCACAGTTTAAAAACGAGGCAAATTAATTCCTATTATTAAGAATATGTATTATTGTCAGTCACTTTAAACATTTTAAATGGTCTGAACATTAACTGTGCTTGCAGGTAAAAAAAAATGTTTAAATTAAAATGTGCTTTTAAATGTTCATTAAAAATGGCACTGTTCTTAGAAAGTAAAAAGAAAACTGCTGTACTTAAATCTAAAGTATTCATAGTAGCCTACTCATCAAAAGCTAAAAATGTTGCTTGGACCTCATAAATATTGGCTATATGTCATATTCATACATTTTCTGACAAATCTTTAAATATATGTTAAATGTACATATGACCGGGTTTATACAGGCACAGCCTAATGAAAATCAAGGAATTTTAAGCACTTTTTCCAGCACCTATTTTTTATTTTCAAGACTGGCATTTATTGAACACCTGAAATATATTCTCAGCAACCCATAAAACATTGCATAGGAATTGATACAAATAAAAACCATTAATATTAATATTTATTAATCCTATATTAATAATATAATAAACCTGCACTAAATGCTTGTGAAATCTTTTTTGTAAGAGTAAAAATACTATTACACTGCTAAAATAAACTAAAATAATAAAATAATATTAGGTAAAAGTACAAAGTACTTTTTTAAAAAGTAATAGTTGGTTACTTTTGAAAAAAAAAATCAGATTTCATATGAAATCACTTTTTTTTTAAGTGTAAACCTGATTGAATGGTTTAATTGCTTAAATCCCAAAGCTACATGTATAGGAATATGCACAAACAAAGGAATTATGGTTGATTTTTCCTTTCATGACAATTAATCTTTTTCAATAGCATTGGCAAAACTACAACATAATCTTTAAGGCCACAGAGACACTTTTTGCCTATTTTTAAACAATATTTTCAAGCTTTGAAAGGTTTAATTAAATTATATGATGAAAAGATTTAAATGTAGCCTGTTATTTACATATTGTACACTATTTTTCTTTACAATATGGCAAATTTGTTTCTTAAATAGCTGTACATCACATGTAGATTTTATTTTACACTTGATCTTACTTGATCTAACTAAAATACAAACTTTACAAAAAACACAAGTACACTGTCAGTAAAAAAAATAAAACAAATGACTTCATTTTACTTGTATTCAATCTGAGCACACACGCGATCATGAGAGGACTTGCAGTTAACTTGAAAAAAAAAGCCCATTTAAGAGCTCACATATCTGTTTTAGCGATTTGCGTACAATAATGAGCTCTCGTTAAAATAAAGCACTTGCCACATTTGCAAATATGAGTAATTGCGCAATACCTTCATTCCCGCGCCGCCATTCAGAATGTATTTAGAGGAGTGACAGGTCAGAGGCGAGTCGACTGGCTGTCGGAGAGCGAAACGTGTGTGTAGATCATCAAATAACGTTAGGCTGGAAATATGTCCGCGGTTTAATTACTCTGCTAGACATCTCTATAGTAAAAACATCCGAGAAGCATTATTCCAACAAAACATTTGTTTTTAAGTTTGTTTGTTTTTCTGTCTCTGCAACAGAGAAAGCCTTTGTCCCGCCCTTACGTTTTACGCAAAACTAGACAAGGTCGACTGTGATTGGCCACTTTTCATGTCAGTCAAATCACGCTTCAGAATCAATTCTTAAACTTCGGAAACTGATTGTTAGCAGCTTATGACACAAAGCACTAAAATAAATATTCTAAGCACAGAGCTGTGATTGTACGCTTCACAAAACAGCCAATCTAGATTTAATCCAAATCAATCAAAGGATTAAAAGTGTTAATTGTTTATTTCATTATTTGGCGATTCCTCCGCGTACCACTAGGAGGAAGCCCGCGTACCACAGTTTGAGAACCACTGGTCTAACCAAAAGGTCATGAAAGAATCATACAGACCAAAAGTACACTGTGGGGTACCACAAGGCTCAATTCTTGGTTCCTTACTTTTCATACAATATATGCTAGCGCTAGGTGTTTTTTTTTTTTTTTTTTTTTTTTTTTGCTTTTACATGGTTTGTTTATGGCAAGTTTGTGAATGGTTGTTAGTGTAATAGACAGAATTGTTAATATTAATACAAGAATAATATTAATAAACAGTGTGAATGGCAAATATCAAACCAATCATCACCTCCAGACAGACCAAAGATTATTAAAATAATAAAAAGACATTAAAGACAGTTGCAGTCAGAAGACATTTGTTGTGAGCTAAGCTGTCAACAAGAAGGCTCCATAATAAAGCACCATTTTTCATAAAAAATAGCTAAATTTAACTAAAACAACTAAATAAAGATAAATATAGAGAAAAATAAAAGACAAAGTAAAAAGACAAATATTGCAATTTTACTGTCAGCATTTGGACTTTTATGAGACAGTTCCAGGTGCATAGGATCACACATTCAGATGTCCACTCCAAATTTATCTACTAGGAGGAGCTATAGAAATTTTTATTTTACATATGTCCCCATGAGAAATAATTGCTGTCTTAATGGGACTAAATACAACACAGGGCCAGGACTGTATAATACTAGACAAGAATCTTTAGATATTACACCATTAGATCTATATTAGTGACCAATGTCTAGTAAAGCTATTAAAATTGAAAGTGTATTTAGTTTATTGTAATTTGTATTATTAGTTATAATGAAACATATATACCATTGTAACATTTATATACAAATTTATTAATAATAAACTAGTTTCTAATTATAAGCGTTATTTATTCAGTGGATCGGTGGATCACAGCAGAGGTTTCATGTGTGCGTTTTTCCTGTAGGTGACAAGCAATCTGTTCGACATCATGTCTGGTCAGACAGATATTGATCACCCACTTTGTGAGGAGTGCACTGACACATTATTGGACCACTTGGACACACAACTCAACATCACTGAGAACGAGTGCCAGAATTACAAGTCAGTAACACACAATAACATCAATTACTGTAACAAACTATTTTTATTTTATTTTCTGTGAGTGATGTGATGTTATTTGCCTGGTAAGATTAATTAAAGAGGTAAAGACTGGTAAACTGGTAAAGAGATAATTTATGTACACATTTTACACCATTGGGTTGTTTAATTGCCTGTGAATTGTCAGGAGCTGTTTAGAGCTGCTGTCTCAGCTTCCAGAAGAAGAGGAGGCCAGTCTACTGAATGCATTGCAGCAGTTGAAACAAGAAGAGGAATCTCTGATCCAGGAACTAGAGAGCATTGAGACAAAGCGTGAAGCCGTGGCCAAAGAGCTGGATGAGGGACGCAACCACAGCCAGCTGATGGACACTGAAGAACTTCGGTATATATGAAAAGAGTATTTACAGATGACTCATATTTTTATATGAATAGTGAATGTTTGAGAAGTGACAGTATATTAAGGGGAAAAAACATGACTGTGAAATTACTCAGGCTGGACTTCAGTGTCTTCATGGCTTGTTTATATCAGATATTAAGGTGTATGTTCATCAAACTGATCACTAATGGATGAGGTGTAAACAGGGTTTATAATTTTTTGCATTAATTTATATGCATTAATTTATATGGTTTTCTACCGTTAACACTTTTGTGGTCAAATGGATTCAAACAGCCACAAAAGGATATTGCTCACCACCTACTAATTTATAGCTTAATGGTGCCATATACTACATTGGTTCAATAAATTAAATTGTTCTCTGATGTCTACATAGTAGGTAAATAGCTTAGGTAAGTTTAAAAAAAATCTCCAGAAACCAGTTTTATATGCTTACTTATTATTCCATAAAATTGTAGGGATATTTTACAGTTTGAACCCAAAAATGAGTCAGAGATTCAATTAAAAAGAAAGTTTACTAAAGGTTAACACTTGCAAATAAGTTTATAGTCTGTTCTGCTTACAATCTCAAAAATATCAACAATTATACTCTTAGATAGCATCATTAACTGCGTCATACATAAGGGTTTTTTAACAGATAGACTTAGATTTTCACGTCGATGCGTGCGTATATAATACCTCAATATTTTAAGCATACAAATAGCCACAGCCACCAGACTCTTCAGAGCTGAGCCTAGACCTGTGAAAGGATCCACAATCGAATAGAACAGTGGTTTGCAACCTTTTTTTGCCTGAGACCCCCTTTTCCCATGGAAATTATTGTAAGGCCCTCTTCAACATTTAATGTTATTATCGCTCATATAGTTTTGCAGTAAGTATTACAAAAAATGTTGTTTTCAATCAAATAGTATGTTTATTACTAAATCTAGATATTTTATGCACAAATAATGGCCTTTTTATAATGTAAAGTATAAAGGCAAAACATTAGTAGGCCATTTGTAACAAAAAAAATTTAAGGCTTTGGCCTTTAAAATGGCCCTGTATTAGTTGACAATTAGTTGCCAAGTTTTTAAACGTTTCTTGTCAGTAGCTGTGACGACCCTCATTTAATTTTAGTTGTATGTCAATTATTTTACCTTGAGCTCAAAAAATACTCTGGGCTTGTCACGGTATTGAGGATGAGTCATCTGCAAATGTCTTAATAATTTGGATGGCCTCATGCATTCGTTAGCAAGAATTTGGCGCAGGTAATACACTGGGGCTTTGTCAGAAACACTTTGCTTAAAAAAAATAGAATAAAACCATAGTTCAGGTAACTATTTTGGTATTTCCTGCATTTAGTTTTACCAGTATTGCTAGTACAGTGACCCGAGATGTTTCGAGCTTCCTCACTTGGGTCTAGTATGCTTGTCATTAGCATTAGTCGTTTTTTGTGGAGGACGAGTAACAAATTTATCAATTTGTTTGGTCAGCCAAGGGTATAAAATGAACGAAGGCTACATGATCGTTCTCCTAACTGTCCACAACTAAAAACAAATGTACAAATATGACGAAACCGGCCACAGAGATCGGTGAGGCCTCCTTGCAGGCTGGGACCCCCCTGTTGGGAACCGCTGGAATAGAACACACACACTCAAAGTAAAATCTGTTTTCTACCTAAGGCTGAGTGTAAACTGGTTAAAAAACTGTGTAATCTACATCCAAACTTGTCAGCTGTGGTGATAATTGGATTTATCAAATATTAAAATCAATATTTAGGTATTTGATATTAATAATGATATTTTAGCCTCACACGGGGGCACCAAATAATGTAGTGATAATTGGATTTATCAAATATTAAAATCAATATTTAGGTATTTGATATTAATATTGATTATTTATGCCTCACGTGGGGGCACCAATTAATGTAGAAATAACAGATAAATAACTCGTTTTAAACGGGGCACCAGACAGCTTTCCGCTGTCAAAATAACTAACAATAAAATATTGTTAATTAAATTATACATATGAGGAATTTATTATCTGGAGGATAATTATCCTTCAGAATGCAAATCTGAGGGATAATGCGATTGACTTGTAGAGCCTTTTTCTGTATTATCAACACAAGGAAGACACAATTGTAATAAATGTGTAGATGGAAGAAGTTGGATCTTCCTGCAGATCTTGAAGCATGAAACGAGCAGACTTGGCTCTCCTGAGCTTTGAGTGGAAGAAATCTGTAGTTTCTGGAACACGCAGACTGGAGATTTCTGGAAGTGGTGATTCGATGTCGGGAACACGCCGACGTCTTTATCCTTGAGCGTAGAAATCTGTATCTTCTGGAACACGCAGAAATTGGAGATTTCTGGAGGTGGTGTTCTCATGTCGGGGCCACGCCGACGTCTTTATCCTTGTGCGTAAAAATCTGTATTCCTGGAAATCTGGGACACGCAGATTTCTGGAGGTGGTGGTCTTTATGCTATGGTTTCAGACGCCTTGGAAAAAGCACTGTGAATCCAATTACCAAATCTTTGCTGGAACACGCAGCAAAATGTCACCCTGCAGCCCAAGACCGGTTACTCACTGAAGCTAAGCAGGGCTGACTCATGGCGGCCTTTCTCGATTTGAAAAGCTGACAGACGCGAGGTATAGGGGTTTTTATGCAGAGTAAATTCTGCTGCAAGGGCTTTGCACAATTCATTGAAATCTCAGAGATTGCTGGACTCTGACTTTCAATAAAACTATGGACAACTTGTGTTGTTGTCTTCCTCAAAAGGAAGAGTTTATCTGTCATAGTAATGTCAGGGAGGTATGACAAGGCAAAATTGACATCTTTAAGGTACAGCTCAATGCTGTTTCCTGGTGTTTCAGGATTAAACACTTTAATGTCACATGCCAGTTCTTTAAGTAATGACAAATGATCGCTGGGAGGTGGCATACTTGGAGACTTAGGTTGAGATAGGACAATATTATGAGAGTTGGATGCAACTTCATAGTTACTAAATGGGTCAGCACTTGGGCTTAGACCACTACGGGCTCTGCATTATCACTACCCTAATAACGCTTTCTTTTTTCAAAGTTACACAACAGGGGTTCCCTACCTGCTGAATCAAAGGAACGGGGGTGCTCAGTCTGTGATTCAGGGTGCTTGGGGGAAAAATGTCTGGCTCCCTCAAATTCACTAATCTTGTCCACAATCCAATCCATTTCTCTTATACTATCTTCCTTGTCTATTTCTTGCGTCTCTCTCAGCTCAGAAATGTCAAGCAATGCTGATCTTACTTCAGCTTTGGTCCTAGTTTCTCTAGACCTCAGAGAATTTAACTCTGTTTGTACTGAAAAGTCAGTTTGGGTCTGGACAAGCTCTGTTTGCAGAGTGGCCATGTCAGTTTTCACACCTTCAAGCTGTTCTTCCTGACTCTCAGTTATAGCATGTAGGCTTTTTGTCTCTGAAGACAATCTACATATCTCAGCTTTTAGCTTCAAATTATCCCTTCGCAAATCAGCCAGTTCGTTTTTGAGCTCCTCAAACTTCAAATACAAAACTTTGTTCTGATCTTGGGGGAGGGAAATATCCTGATTTGGTTGTACAGGTAAATTTTGTGCTAGGCTAAAAAGAAGCTTCAAAACTAGAGCAGCTTTTACAGCTTGACTCACTGCTTCAACTGTTATATCAGCCATAATTATTTAATATATAAACTTGTGTTTTCTATATAAAATAAATGCACCCCCCATCTAAGGTAAACTGTTGAATGCTTAACACATAAGTGTCGGCTAGTCTACAACTAAGACAATGGGTGTCACACTGAATGGGGCTTGATTAATTTAGCACTTATCACTGAATGGTCAGAGGTGTTAACGTTGCCTGACCGGTTTCACAAAGACACTCTGAATTTAAATAGACTCCAAAGGTGAACCAAACCTTTGTCATACATGCAAGTAGCAATTCAGTTATAATTCGGAATTACAAGACTACACTTTACCGATTTTGAAATCAGAAAATCTCTGCCATAATAAAGTTGGTTCAGGACTCAATGGCAAATCACAAAGTTTTATCACTTCATGAACACCTTATTCATAAATAGTACCAAGTATTTGAGCAGGGACAACAATCAAGTCCGGTTTAGAGGGAACCACTTTTGCCTTTGCAACTGGTTACTGTCTAAATTTGATGACTGAAATAGTTTCCTGCTAAAGTTACCTCTATTGCAGTTTTATTAGTGCATAAACATTGTGTAGACAAAACAGAAGGCTCAATTTCAATCTAAGCCAGGCCTCACATGGGGCACCAAATAATGTAGTGATAATTGGATTTATCAAATATTAAAATCAATATTTAGGTATTTGATATTAATAATGATATTTTAGCCTCACACTGGGGCACCAAATAATGTAGTGATAGTTGGATTTATTAAATATTAAAGTCAATATTTAGGTATTGATATTAATATTGATATTTTAGCCTCACGTGGGGGCACCAAATAATGTAGAAATAACAGATAAATAACTTATTTTAAACTGGGCATATGAGGAGTTTGTTATCTGGGAGTATATTTCTGGAACACGCAGAAATTAGAGATTTCTGGAGTTGGTGGTTCGATGTCGGGAACACGCCGATGGCTTTTCTTTGAAGGTAGAGTTCCTGGAAATCTGGGACACGCAGATTTTTGGAGGTGGTGGTCTTTATGCTATGGTTTCAGTCGCCTTGGAAAAAACACTGTGAATCCAATTACCAAATCCTTGCTGGAACACGCAGCAAAAGTTCTGATGTCTAGGACAGAACCCCGCAAACCACCATGAACCACACTTTGACCACTCTTCGACCACCTTTTAGGACACACTTTTTACCACACACGCTTCTGCACACAATTCTCTTAACAGAACTTTTCTTTGTTTAAGAGAATGTCTTTAATAGTTTCTCTGGAAGGCGGGATTGAAGGATGTCACCTTTTAAATCCAGCATTGTGATTGGATAATCCTGGAGTTGGTCACTAGGAGGTGCATTTTAA